TGTATGTATGTATGTATGTATGTATGTATGTATTTATGTATGTATGCTTGTGTACATATGTATGTGTACATATGTATATGTGAATCGAAAAACCATTATCTTCAGGTGGCATTTGTATTATCTAGACGACACTCCGAAAAACATTGGCTTCAAGACTCCACCAAAATCGAACATAACCGTGAGAAGTACGGGAATCGGGATGGAAGTTCACGAACAAGGAGCCGTCTATGTCCTAGCATTAACCGGCCCGATGGTTCCTCTTATCTAGCTAATAATACATAGCTTTATTCCGCCTTGAACTGCCGAATCAAAAATCGATCATATGAATTTCAGTATAAGCCAGCGAAGCATATTAATCAAGTGGTACAGTCGAACTCTGTTTCCATCCTCTGGCAAGTTCCTCAAATCGTCATCATTACTGCAGCAGAAATTCTTTTTTCTATTACTGGTTATGAGTTCGCCTATTCACAGGTTAGTTGGAAAAACTTCACCTTGATCAAGTAGTCTGACTATGTAAGCAATGAGCTGCTGGAATTTGGTGTGTACAGGGTGTTTTACAAATATCCGCTATGTACTTGTTTGGAGGATTTTTCAAAATATGTCCTTCTCTTACGTTTATGATTACCTCAGCTTACATGTCTTCTCTGGTAATCTCAATTCGTCAGTTATCCCGAGAAAATGAGGCACCGACATCATCCAGCAGCCACTGTGTCTTTTTGCGCATTTATTGGGTCCTCTTTCAGGATCGCTAGTCCTTTCCCCCTTAACGAACCCTGAAATTGCGATGCGTAGTCGAGGCTCCAATGCGGTCTTCTCCCAGTTATGTCCCTTTTTTGTATACAATCGCTTGCAAATGATTGCGCTGCGAAATTTGCAGAAGTGCGAGAAAAATGACTGCCCATTTTAGTGTATGTTTCTCTTAGACGAGAAAGATTTCGGGCAAACACAAATATTCTCAGATAGGTCTGTGGAACCTTATAAGTTCAACTAGGAAAAGAGAGATAGAGCTAATGAATTGCCCTTTCGGGACGCGGCACGCGCTTCGACACTTTTTCTGTCGAAAAGTTTCAGCATGGTAGGAATGTATAGATTCTAAAGTGCAAGTAAGTTCACCCCCACAAGTGCCGAAACCGCTGAAAAGCGTCAGATCGTTTCTCATGACCAGTTTCCCTCTTCTATGATGGTTTTGTACGTACCAACAGAGCAATATCGCTAACTTCTAACACTCGCGCAGTTGTTCAAGAATGAAGAAAGACTAAAACTAGTGCTTAAGAAATGTTCGCGATCCTATCCTCGCTCACAATCATGTCACGAATATTTTGTACCGCTTTCTATTGGATCGGTAAGAAGAGCTTATACTGGCGAGAGATGCTCTGCGCTTTGAAACATCGCTGTTGCTGCCTATAGGAAATCGATGAAAAACGCTCAGGTTGAAGTTTGTGAAAAAACTCTGCGTGCCGTCGTCGATGAGCAGCCGAAGCGTCTTTGGGCTGTAATTGGAACAGCAACACTGTATTAGATTACGTCCGCTCGTTTTGTAGATGCAGTGCATAGTAAATAGCTCAAAGAATTAACCCTATATCAGAACGAATCGCAATTTCTATTGCTTAATTATTTTGTTATCATATTCATAACGTAACCACCCTGTAGAAGATGGTGCCTATCAAGTATTCGTTTTTGGGAAACTGTCCAAAAGCTCGGCCGCTTCAGAAAGATCACCAGAATAATTGATGTCTCTGCTTTAACGAAGTGACCCTCATAATTTTTTCAAAGAGAAAGTGAAAAAGTACACCTCTGAATGGATAAAGGATACTGAGGAAAGCGAAGATCAGTCAGCTTTTCTCGATATCCGAGTAAAAAGTGATAACGGTTCCAATTTATTCCACGAAGTGATATAAAAAGCCCATTAACAGAAACATTATTTTATTAGGTCGCAATCGTCAACCGCTTTTGGTTGCAACAGGATACACTCTCATAATGGACATGACTCTGGGGCCACGGTCGACGTCGTGCCGCTTGAAGCACAAAATGCTTGAAGCGCTTTAGGCCGCGAAGAAGACTCTCGAGGCATTGTGGATCCGGGCCATGGGTCCAAAAATAAATTGGAAGGGGGAGTGCGTGTCAATTGCCCGCAAACTTCCTCCCTGGTTGAGGTTAGCTTTCGACAGTGACTTTTAAACTCAGAACAGCTGGCTCTGCGCTGCTCACGGGGGCCGATTCTCCCAAGAAGGATGGTGCGGTACTTCCGTCCTCCTAGTATTGTGTTATGATTTTGAGTTGAAAGTGAAAAGTCTTGAAGGGCAATCAGTGTTGAGATATTTGATCGGGTAATCTCATAAGCCTGATTCCATATTGTCAGGCTTCGCTTGAGGAGGTTCCGCCGAGAAGTTAGCCATTAAGTTATTGTGGAACCTCATGTGCAGTTATATCAGTGAAGCTATTCCAAGAATTGTGCCAAGGTTCATCGAGAGCCCCATGTGGAGACTGCTCATATTAGCAGCGATGGAACACAAAAGACTGGACCGCTCTGTTGTAACGTAGCTTTTATTCTGATTTGAATAATCTACTCACAGCCCGTCTTGATGTTGCACCATCACGCTCCCCTCTTTGAAGTTACTGACATGCCGTAACTGGGGCTTTTGCGCGCAGCCACTTTTTGAGTTTGGATTCTGCTTGTGATTAATGGATTATTGATGGCTGTCACCTCTTCAGAGCTGATTGACTTCGTGCTCAGTACGACAGCTACCTGTTGTTGAAGAGAAACTGTAACTTTTAACTAGTTCTAGTTTCGAGGCCACCCTCATTGACTCTTACGGTTCAAAATCACGTCGCAAAATTGATACTTTATAAAAGTTTCTTTTTAATTCGAATCACGTATATATTCAGTCTGCACCTTCGATGAAAGCCTTGGTTCAAGCTCTGTGGTTGCTGACAACCGCTGCAGGCGATTCTATCATCGTTCTGATCACAGCTCTGAATTTGTTCTCAAACATGGCGACCGAGTTCTTTGCGTATGCCGGTACGTCTAGTTTATAGCATATTAGAATTTTGCATTTGACTCTGCCTATGTGAGTACCGTGCACAAAAAAGTGACCCCTTTGGCATGAAATCATCTCGTCCGCAGTTGCTTAAAACAATGACCAAGTGGTTAGCTTGACACTACCACCAAACCGCGCACACAGATCCGGACTGCGTCACACATCAGCAGACAGACGGAATCTTAGAAAAAGCCTATGTTTACAGAGGCGCTGGTCGTTTCACCGCTCTCCATCTTACTCACTTTCTAACAATCACCACCCATCCTAAAGCACAGGGCGTTCGTTTTACTGATTTGAGGTGAACTTGTCTGAATCATAATATCAAAGAATTGCTCTCTCCGTCGGCATGTCTTCACCTGCGTCAAGCAGTGTCTTGCGCCAGCGACTTTCTTCAATTGTTCTTCCATTTGTTCACGCACACTAGATTCTTGCTGCTCTGATATCTTTAATTCTTTGTTGATCCCAGGTTCGACTCGGCAATCTGAAATTGAAATGTTAGCCCATGTCAAAATCGCAGGGTTCGCAAGGATTGTGAATGCCTGACCGATCGCTAGTTGCCTTCCTTCGCTTTGAATCAGCAGTCAAAAGGACCATTGAGCAACCGTACACTCATCGTAACTACAGAATTTACTATAGACGAGATTGCATATACCATCAGGCGAGAAGGTCTTCTAAAGTATCTACTGTTACGTTTTATGACTTCTGTTCTATTTTGTCCCCATCATTTTACAAGCGACCGCGTGCGCATGGCGCATGTACATGCGAGCTCTGTTAAGCAAACGTAAGGAAATAGGTACAGATAAATACAACAGACATAAATATAAAATATGTGTTCAACATTAGTATAACTCCAAAAGACAGTATACGGAGTAATGAATTTATCATCTAGAAAAACGCAATGTATTAACCTAGGGGCAAGATGATGCGTTTTGTGGGGTTCTTGGCACATGTAACCTTCGGGGCGTGGCACTGCGACGGTGTCCGGAAACGTGTGTTACGACCGCCTTGCGAGTCCATTTGCGCGGGTTTCTGCGCGTTTCAAATGTCTCCGGGAATGCCAGTGATGTTAGCGGGGACAGCCTAGCAGTTATCCTCTCCGATCCCTCCATCTCCCCTCGCAGTTCCGATCTTCCCTTCAGGTAGGCGATAGGGAGCCGATAATGTAGCCGCTGCGATGTCGACTAGGCGAAGGAATAGAAGGTACGACGGCGAACAACGACTGCGATTTCAAATGAACGTTGATTGCGGAGGCACAACCGTCAGTCGGGTTTGATAAGGCCCGAAACTTCATTCCTCTTGTCTTTTTTCTACTTTGGGTGGTACAGCAACTGCGAGTAAGCGACAAATGAAATACAACACAACAAATTAATACGCAAAGAATATCATGAGATAGAATCGACTACACTTGATGACCCGTGAAATGTTTTTGACGAACGTGATTTCTCTCCTCGAGGGGCTTATTCGTGACGGGGACATTCCACCTCAGGTCTGTGAAATAGAGAGCCTAGGGAATTCAAGAAAGTACATTAATAGAAACCCGAACAAATGAAAGAAAGCAGGCAGCTTCTAGCAGCTTTTCAAAGGGAGTGCATCAATGCCCTAACTGGTTCTGAGAGATTGCGTTATATATTAAAGGGCGAAGTCAACGCCTATGTCATTTCAGAGCTTCTGTGCTTTAACAAGAATGAGAGGCTGATCCTGATCTAACATGAGCGCTTTTTGGTTGCAGAACATATAGCTACTCCGAAATATACAGTTACTGTGATGAGTGTCCCTGCGCACCGCCCTAAGATATACGCCATTTTCTAGCGCGTCAAGATTTACAGTGACGTTCGTATTGTAGGCACAAACGCGAGAAAGTAATGTTCCAAACCACAGCTAATGCACTTAGCGTTACCTGTGGAATANTCCTTTCCATAGATTGCTACACTTTTGGAGCGAACACCTCTCTCTGCGTTTAGCTTGACTATCCCCATTTAGACCGGGATAGTTTCTTGGTGATGTGCTGGCAAAAGGCGCACTATCACATATGCACGGTCCCGCATTCAGAACCCGGAGCGATATCGTCTATTTTACATCCCTCCGAGGTTTGTTAATTGGTACCAGACTCGTCTGTGAGAACAAAACACTTATTTACATTGGCTGACCACTGCAAGTCATTGTCTAGGCTACATGCACATTCATTACGCCACTACGATTTTGAAGTGAAGTCGGACGCGTAGGCGCGTCTCTCAGACGGGATTGATTGACGCCCGAAAACTTCATCCGTTATCCCTTGGACCGGGATGGTTCTTACAGCTAGACGTGAAGTAAAGGTGTCCTCAGAGGAATAAACTATATAGTATATGCGGGCTCCCCTGCCGGATACAGCTGTCGCGCTACAAACGGGCACCCGCCCTCTTCCTCGACACGATCATACTCCTCCGTGAGAGCAGCCTAGGAGCCGAAACGGGCACCCGCCCTCTTCCTCGGCACGATCATACTCCTCCGTGAGAGCAGCCTAGGAGCTGAATGCTGAGCGCTCCACTGAATCTGCTATCCCGACTCCGTGCCTGAAATGTCTGATGCCTGAGGTGCGCTAAGGCGTGACTGCGAAACAGGCTAGCCATCCTGCGGCAAAATCGAACGGCCTGTAAAATGGATGAGAACGTGCGCCCATGCTGTTGCCGCAGCGGTTGAACATGAATTCCATGCTCCATGGAGGGTGTGGCGAACCACGGTAGTACTCTGATACCGCTGTGATCTATACAATGAATTAGATCATAAATATGTATTTTCAAGGTGAACATACAAGGCAGACGTTGTACAATGCCTGAGATAGATACTCCACCAACTGTTGCGTGAGTGCTCGTGCCGCTCTGAGATATTTTGCGGTCTTAAAATCAATGAAATAGGGGTACTCGTTGTACCTGTTTGTCAGCCTATAATAACCTCATAAAATAAGTATAAATTATGCGATGGTAGTCCTACCTCAGAATTACAACTATGCTGACCGAGTCGTGAGCTCCGAAGCGTGTCGTGTGAAAGGCAGTGTTCAATGTGGTGGTGTGCCGCCGTGATGAAAGAAACTTTGTTCTCTGGTAGCGATTGTGAGCGCTAGCTGCGCCTCATAATCGCCGCTGGAGCGTGGAGCTGCGTCCGGGTTATGCCTGCAGATCACGGAGAGCACGCGTTCTGCGGTAGGTGCTTGGTGTGCAAGTGCACTCCGTGTCACTCCCGTTCGCAGATGCAGTACCTCTGTACCTGGGTGCTCCTCTCGATCTTCGCCTGCACATGTTCATGCTTCAACAGCGATGGTGCGAAGAGATCGCTCTTTTCAAAACCCACGCCCACGGATCTTTCAACGAAATGGGTCTGGAAACTCAGGCAGTACCACGTTTGCCTGGTTGACGTAAAGTTGATCGCGATGGAAACAGCACAGTAATCGTGGCAGTCTATGACGTGGTCATAACACAGAGAGCTGCGTCTACCGAAAATGAGTGCACCTACCTCAAAAACGACGGTTTAATTCACTCCAATGTGCAAGTGGGAGACCGCGAAATTGTGAATGGTAAGTGAAGCCATTCCTCCAATGAGCAGCCGTAGTAGGTTTCCCATCAAATGTGATGAATGTGAGAACGAAAGTGCGCCCTATATTGTAGTAAATGTGCATACAATAAAGGAAGAGGATAAAAGTGTAGAAGGCTGTGAGGAGTGAATACACCTGCGAATGACATCAATATAACTGCGAAAAGATAAGACGCAAGATTACTGAAACTTTATGTGTAATCTACGCGTGACCCACCGAATCTCAAAAGTATCGCCTTAACGCAGCTCGCATGCTAATGGATCGCGTTTTTTCTAGCGATGTGCACAGGACTTACTATCGCAGGAGACGTACGGAAAGAATATGTGATGTGGTTAAAAATTACAGATGAAGTTGTGATTAGTTTTGCGACTAGAATTGGAGTCTGTTGAATAAGTGCATGTCGGTGGAATTTCTAACGGATGCAGATGCGCTAATGATCGCGTGAGGAATCTTCCGCATGGTCTAATGACATCTGCATCAGCGCTACCGTGCACCTTCACAGCAAGCCCTTATGCAATGAGCCCCAACCAACTTTTCGTCAGCGACTATGAGACTGCCTTGTACGCAGCCGCTGACGCTCTTTTAGCGCAGCGAGATAGTCCATGTATAACGGATAGAAATGGTTGAAAACCTCCACGGATTCCTCGTATCACGAGCTGAGCTATGGCGCGATAGCTGTCGTCCTCAGATAATCTGTAAGTGATGTTTGCAGGGAAACATTTGGAACACGCGATGATTATTGCATTTATCGAAAGAAGGTCATGGGAATTAGTGGACCCGTTGATTAATGACTCGGTATCTGTGACGGCGATCTGAAATCCCTCAAGCGTGAAAAGCGTGTGTTCGACTGCACTACGAACTGCGGACTCGAAGTGTTACCGATCGTATGAAATGCAGTAACATCCATCTCCTACACCTCCAAGAGACGCAGTAGAAAGGAGCAAAGGCGTAAGAAATCGGATAATGTGTCACTCAACCACAACGGTTAAGGCAGCTAACGAAATGGTGTGGCCATGGAGTGGCGGAGTGCCACAAAGACTTACCCCGCTGTCAATAGAATCAGCTGCGAGATCATGAGTGGAAGGGAGCACCGGGCAATAATATCCGTATACGCAGCGCAGCAGACTTCCTCGACGACGGTAATACGGGATTTCTCTGAGCCGTGACAATGTCATCAGTTCCGAAAAGGGACTCACCATAGCTGTTGTTCTAAATGGCCACGTTGGTAGTGACCAGAGAGGACTAGAAACAGAAAGGGGCAAAAGAATAACTGTCAGAAACGAAGGAGCGGGGGTTCTCAAACTGACTCTTTCCACCAACTGGCAGTCTGCAGCACATTTTTCGCGGAAAAAGAGATTCAAAAGAAGCTTCAGTAGTGGATGGGATAAGTGGAAATCGACCATGTGCGAATAGGAAGCTCCCCTTTCCTAATACCTCTGGATGTCATCTAGCAAATACTTTTGGACAACTTTGAAGACCATTCTCTACGTGATGACATCGCTGAAACAGCGGAGAGTAGAGGAGAACTGCAAGAGAAGCTGCAGGGAAGGTAGAAAGTTTTGGCAGAGAATGGACGCCGGCTGAACGTAAAAAAGCTAGGTTCCCAGCTAGGGGGAGGGCACACCCAGTCTTGGACTACCTAAGGGAATGGATCGAAAATGTTTAGGGCTTCCAGTAGCTAGAAAGCGACCTAACTGCCGACGGTATGTGGATCAAGCTTTAAGACTCGAATGAATGCAATTTGGACGAAATGAAAAGGGTCCATTGGTATCCTCTGCTACCAGCAGTGTTCCAGGGCACTAAAAGAAAATGTGCACCGGAAATTGATGAGACTCACGATGCTCTACGGCAGTGAATGGGCCCTCAGGCAAGAACCATGAAAGTGCACCACACTCTGCAGAAATGAAGACATTGAAACGGGCCTGCGCCTGAATGCAACTTGAACGTATGAGAAACGAATTCCGTCAAACATACA